TGAAGCTTAAATGAGTACCAACACAAATTGAAAACTTTCAGATTATATCGACAGCAGCTTGGCGAAGGAAGAGCTAACCAAGATTGCCACAACCTGCCTAACGAATCAAGATTTCGAACTGCTGGCTGGAAACACTTTCAGATATCAATTAGTAGAATCTGTTATCTACCCTTTAATCGAAGAGAGCGTGATGACCATAGGTCTTGAAGAGTTACGTACCGCACTCAAATTGTCCCCACTTCCACCTTGGAAACCACATAACCAAACCAAACCGAGTGAGCATGAACTGGCATTAGCAAGTACAATCGAAGAGTACTACAATTTGAGAGAGCCGCGCTCCAAAAAGAGAAGTCTCGATAGCCCATACTTCTTCCAGCATAACATAGACACTGCTGTTACATACTTGAACGAGCGGGTTCCCACGATACAAACCATTTTCAAGAAAACATTTGAAGAAGTTTGTCCTTCTTCTCCAGAGGTGTTGGATAAGAAAGAAATTGATAGTATGATTGAACTGTATCACGCGACGGCTGTTGAAGTACAAAAGGCAACTTCGAGAATGCTATTTTATATATTTGAATGTAGGAATGTAAACTAACATAAGATAAATGTATAAAGAATTGTTTTTTACATGTCTTGTATCTTTCCATTCGGATAGTTCCCTGAGAGTATAAACATCCTTTATTATCACTTGTGACCATAGTGCAGTTTAGCTTATACATTGTAACATCACACACTTGTTCTAAAGAACATCTGAAGCTTTAACACATGTTCATCCAGAGTTCAGTTGAGTCTATTCTGTCTGAATAACCTATCCAATAGCGATTAGAGAAAAACCAAAAAAAAAATAACCTAACCTATACAATAACTTATCCACTAGCGATTGGAGAGCAGAGTGGACAGGGCGAAGTGCGTTTATGCACTTTATTTTCTTCGTTTCGCTTCACAGAAGCGTTGAGCAGCTCATTTGAAAAAATAAAGAAGTCCCTTTGCTCAAACCTGTCCAAACAGGAGCTGCTACTCTTGCGGATTATTTCATCACTACATTTTTGGGGTTAGTTTCACTTTCGTACTCACAGTATAAATATCGCTTATTTTCAGATTTTAAACGACCCTATTTCGGAAATAAATGATCTGATAACATCAACTCTCTGTCCGAACAAGGACCCTGAATGCCTGGCCACATTCAGCGATGTTTTTGAAATAAAAGGGGTTTTAGGTGAATTCCTTGAAAAGAAGGTAAGTGTTATTTCACCTGTTTGTGAATTTTTCATATATTTCAGAGCACAGCAACTGCCATCTGTAGAATACCAAAATGCGTACAATGACAAAGGCAGCTTTGAGGATGCTATCTATATATGAATGTTCGAATGTATATAAACATAAGGTGAATATATAAATATGATTTCTGATCGAGCACGTTTATATTATTGATACCATTATTGAATCTTGTGATATTTTTTTCGCAACATAGCAGATCCCACGTTTTCAAACAGTTCTATGAGGCGGACAACTGAGATCTTCTGGAAATTGATTAATGTGAGAAGCTTTTGAAGTCAATTTGGACGATTTTCATCGACAATCCATTCTCAAAAGAACAACCGGGTTATTTTTTTTCACGTAAAAATTGTTTTCACGTGGCGCGCATTCACGGAATTATATAAGCCGTCGCAAGTATGAGTCACGTCAGTCGGCCGTGTGAGCTGGTGAGCTCCACTCCTCTCTCTCTGGAAGACCTCCAGAGAGAGGGGAAAAGCTCATCAACCTACATGCCGAGGGTGGGACCTGGAGAAATCTGGGTTTTACCTGAAACGCACCGGAAGGTGGCATTCCAACTTCATCCGTCCAGAACGGTTGCATTCTATTCTAAACCGTCCAGAACGGTTGCAATCTATCCTAAACGGTCCAGGACGATTGCATTCACTCTCAAACCGTCCAGAACTGTTGCAATTTACCCAAACCGTACAGAGCCGTAGCATTCAACGCAAAGCGTCGCACTCTCCATCAAGCAAAAAACGTGCAGACCAACTAAGCTCAGTACTTCTATAATAGACTCCCAAACACTGGGCGGTTCAGTAATAATTTATTTTTCGTTTTAATTTTGATTAAATAAAGCTCTCAATTTTTTTCGAAATCACCAAATTCGGGAGTTAGACGCAACCCGGAAAATAACCCTGAAAAAAAATGTAATGATTAAGTGGATTGAGCACCTTACCTTGGCAAGAGAGACGCAACTACAATGAGTAGTTGGCATACCCAGAACTGAGGTTCACGCATAGCATCATAGGCTACTCTGATTGGAGGGTTGGAAACAAGACCTGAAAACTGTTAGTTCACAGTTGAGCTATTCTTCTCACCTGGACCAGCGACGATTCCAAATATCAAGAAGTAACCGAAATGTATAACAAAGAAAAAAACAAAAACGATCAAGAAGACATTGTTCTGGAAGAATTCTTAAATTGGTGTTCTATAGCAAAACGATTACCCAGTTACGAACTTCAACAGCTAAATGAAGACAATTTACAAGCATCATACCCGTGCAAAGATAGAATCCAAATGTCCACAAACCCGTGTCTGAGCCAATTAATGTCTGCAATGTGAGCATAGAAGGTTGAATGGAAGATAGGGAACTTACTAAATGTGCTAAAAAATAAATAACTGCTGCCTGATATATTCCATCAATTACATTGAGGAAGAAAGTTGTGTAAGTATATAGTTTTCCTTCTCTTCCTTGTTCATACAAACTTGGATCCTTCATTAACTTCTCTTTTGACTGATCTTGATCTAGTACCCCCACAACTATTGGTTGAACTCTGGAGAAACGTTCGAATAGCCTTCCTCGTCGAAGCTGTCACTTACGCTGTGAAGATTATAGGATAAAGAATGGAATAGGTTGGGTCGATAGAATATGATCCAGAAAAGCCATCGAAAAACTGATAGAAAAATAAAACAAAGACACTGTTCTGAAACTCTGCGAAGTCTGCGAAATCGATCGTCTTCTACTTCTTACCGTGTTCTTGTACAGAAAATATAAAAAAGAAAGAGATAATCTATCATAACTCCAATGTCCATGAACTAGAAGTAGCTTCTTCAGAAATCGAAATCTTGATATAGCAAAATCACAGGCCATGACAGCCTGAATAACTTTTTTTAACACGTCAAGAACAACACCTTTACCTGCATTCCTTCTTTTCCTTTGACTCCAATCCCAACATGAGCTGCCTGGATCATCGGCACATCGTTAGCTCCATCACCAATTGCTAGAACCCTCCCTTTCTGAAACTTATAAATAGTTTTTAATTCAACTTTCCGGAACCTTAAGAGTTTGCTTGACAACTTTAACGACTTCTGCTTTTTCTGAAGGTGTCATCCTGTAGCACAAAACAGATTGAGCTCTGGAAGGAACAATGCATGAACATATAGATAGGTATAGAGCCACTCACAAGGTCAGTATTCTGATCATTCTTTCATTCTTCTCCCGTAAAAGCTTAACCATGCTTGGAGAGATAATTACATTGTCTCTATAAACAGAACATTTTGAGAAAGCAGAAAAACAAATATCACTTTGCATTTATCGGATTTTCACTGTCCAGTTTCTCTAGGACTTCTGGGCTTTCAAAGTAATGAAGATGGTTATCATCGCCGAAGAGCCCACTGGACCGAGCAATGTTCACAGCAGTTTCTAACTTGTCTCCTGTCAGAACCCAAACCTTGAACAAAAATCTACTTTTCAATAAAGGGAGTTACACTACCTGGATCCCAGCACCTCTCAGAGACTGAACAGTATCTTTCACTCCGTCCTGTAATCACTGAGTTAAATAATGAACCTTCAAACACCGTAAAACCTGAAGCCTATCTTCGATACCAGTCACTCCGAGGAGAGTGAAATCTTTTTCGATTTCATCAGCTTTTTCAGAAAGCATTGTCTCTCTATCACCTGTGGAAACTTGCAAAATGAACTGATAGCTTTCTTGAAACAGCTTGAACTCGTCTTTGTTAAGCTCTTTCATTGTGAAACAGAGTGTGCGTAATCCTTTACAAGAATACTCATGAACACGTTCTGTCATCAAATCTTTATGCTCGCCACCTCCTTTCAATCTATAATTAGTTGAATCAAAAAATTGATTTGTTTCAATATTTAATACCTGTCCATGATTGCGGAGTCAGCTCCTTTGGTATACATTATGATTCCACCATTCTCTTCAACTATCACAGACATTCGTTTACGATGAGAATCAAACGGTAGAGTTAAAAGAATTGGTACTCTGGAGAAACAACATGGTATTGTTCAAATATACACAATGTTAGAAAACCAACTCACTTCAACGCAGCTCCATCGGGGGTTGTTATAATACTATGAGTTCCACACCTATCCTCCAGGTTCCAGCCATACAAACTGACACCTGAAGAGAATAACGATACGCTGTATGTCATTATCAACCGCACCTTGTATCAATGCGAGTTCGTCTGGACTTTCTGCCTCGTACGGACAGAAAGGCTGGCTTGCCCCAAACGTATATCTTCGCTTCAACTCAACATTCGTCGCTCTTCTGTAAAGGAAGTTGAAAAAGCTAATTGTTACAAAAGACTTACAAAGCGTTGATTGGGCTGACCAGTTTTTTAAAACCTGTAGCGACGTTTTTGGATATGGAAGACACTCTAGAAATCACAGACCCTTCATCTCCCATCGGAGATCTTCGGGTACTTTCTGGAGAGCAAAGAATGAAAAGCTAAGGAAGAAATAGAAACTAACTAGAAACTGAAGGTGAGTATTCATTCTCCTCAGGGATATTCGGTAGTGAGTTAGCAGAGTCTGAAATTTCTGGTTCAGCTGTTCTGAAATTGCGTATTGCATTTGAAAAATTTAGTTTATTCGAACTTTGCTAAAATCTCTTCGGGACTGAGCTTCAGCTCTTCTAGACGACGAGTGTAATCCTCTAGGGTCATATGATAGAACAATGCGTTTCCTATGGAATAGATTCCCCGCTGGTTATCATATGTACCGACCTAGAAAGCTGACAGTGGAAAGAAATCGCCTGCAAGCTTTACCTCGATGGCATCCGCTCTGGGAACTTTATTAACGATTACGGAGTTGTTGACAACAATGTTTAAAAAAAAGTGTCTCATTCTTTTATCCATGCGCCAATTGTCTTTCACACGAGCTGCTAATGATAGCGAAACGACAGGATTGTCTTTGTCGATTTTTTCCTGAAAAATAATCGTCTATAGAGATATAGTGTTGTTGATACCGGATCATATTCTCCACCGTTGTCGACTTCATCAAAAGAGCAGTTTCGGAAAATCATTTTATTTTCTGTTAAAGTTCCCGTTTTGTCGGATAGTACATGTGTTATCTGTCCTAGCTCTTCCGGAATATTAAGAGATCGACAATTGATTGGATAATCCTGGAACACATAAGGAATGTTCAATTATGATTTTAGAATTATATGCTTACAGCCTCTTCATCGTACAAATCTAAATCCTGAGAAATAAAAAAAACCTGTCCTATCTTGATGATTTCTACTGTGATGTACAATGATATGGGTACAAGGACCTGAAAATTAAACATGTTCGATACAATGTAGCACACAAACTGATAACCTGATAACAGATAATGAAAGATCCAACACTAAGGAAGCCTTCTGTCACCGGACTTTTGATATTCCAAGGTACAAATGAGGAATCCTTGAACCATAACGTAAGCCTTTGTCGAACAAGTGTGGAACATACCTGAGAATCATGTCGCCCAACAAAAAACCCGTTCAATAAGGACCCAGAAACCACCATGAGTATCAACAGAACAACACATATTATAATAAATCTAAATATACGTGTGAATCAATCTGTATATTCGAGAAGCATCTCACTTATTCGTTAAAACCTCGATGTACGATTGCTTATAAGGAGCACGTCCATTGTTGAGCATAACCTTAGTATCATGTCCTATAGACGAGCTATTTGCTTTTCATGAAACTAGTTGTTACCTGCATACAGCACTATTCCTTCTACAAATGTAGTGTTTTTCAGTTTAGATCCCCTCAGGAGCATGTTCTCTCCCATGATTGGATGAAAAACGCCTTAAAATTAAATATTATTCCCTTCTAACTTTATGTTCCTCACCCGGCGCTGTTTCTAATTTGGCATTAACTTGATAAATGGCTTTATCAGGCTTCTCACAAAAAGCGGTCCCGGTGAAATTTGTGGGAGTGAAGTTGGAATCTTCCTAGAAAACGTGACATTCATGTGTAGGCCATGACAAGTTGTACCTTTGAGAAATCTAAATATTTTCTTGGAACATTTCTCTGCTTCAATGATGTCTCTCCATCCAGGTTACTTGTTTCAATATAACAGCTACCATCGGGGTTTGATGATCTTCAACGTGGAACTCAAATACATATTTGAATCAATATGATACCGGAGAAAAAGAATGTCAGCTGGTATGTCTTCATCATTAGAAACATGCACAAAGTCACCGACAAGAACAAATTTCCAGAAAGTTTTCCGGAACATCCCTCTATCTCTACAACGATGAGCATTGACTGTCTGACCAAAAGAGAAGAAACACTTACTTGTCCCAAACATGAATATTTCTACTATTTATCTCATTATCGAACCTCCACCTACGAAAGTCTTCGTAAGCATCCTACAACCAAACATTCAATAAACTTCAGAAGATAGAACAAACTTTGGCCATAGTTGTTCCTAATACAATACATGGTGGTATAAGAGCTAACCATTTAGAATAAGCAGCAAAAGCCGGAAAAAAATTTAAAACTGAAAAGAAAGATATGAGAGTGCGGAGGGGGAGAATGAGAGATAACGAACCTGCTATTAATAAAAAATATAAATTAGCATACTTATTTCGTAGTTGATGATAAATATTAAGTGGAAAAAATGTCAACAAACTGAAAGATAGTCTTGAGCTAATGTCATCATCGTTTACAATCGAACCTATATTTCGTTGTGGTTATAGAATTATTAGGAAACTGTCTATAATTTGGCATATTATATCGTGCTACACTTTGTAAATGATTAGGCTGGATCATCCGAGAGCTGAAAAATCAATAAACAAATCGAATTAGCATACTGATTTTGATGAACGTGGGGGCCGCCACGTCATTTTCATTTTATTTTTATATTTCCGGTCAGCAAGAACGGTTGTGAACAATGAGTTTCCCCAGTTTCATTCATAACATTCAATAATTGATTAGTAAAATCAAACCCTTTTATTCGTGTTTTTCTGCCTTTGAGTATTTCGATTGGATTATATAATGCTCCAGATTGGGGTACCCATTGAGAAGAGGATCTCTTATGTGCATGTCTAGATTGAACCTGAAAGAAGTTTGGTTGCTTAGTACCCTCACTGAACCAACCATATTTCCTCCATACCCGTTTTTTATCGTTTGATCCATATTCTGAAAACAGTTTAAACGTTAAAGATTGGAAAAGGAATGAATTAGAAACATTATAAATTGAGTGAAAATCGAAATATGTTTATAAGAAGTGAAGTTTTGCATCAAAGGTTAAACAATGTGAGATCCACAAATATCGAGCTTCATAAACTAGATTATATCTATCGTGCGAACAGAACGGAAGAAAGAGTAAACTAACCTACTAAGCAAAGTTCTTACGATCAAGTCAAAAATTGAAACACAAAATGGCACAAACTTCAAGTCGTTCAGACAGGTCTTTCGTAACTAACAGAAACGAAAAGATCAAAGCGACTAGAAAAAGGGGTTAACAAATAGAATATGAATGCTGCGTGAATTGTATGACTCCAAGGAAGACGCGAAATGATCTTCCTGAAGACGAGGTTAAAACGATTCTTAACGTCAGAGCAAATACGGCCGCTGCTGAAGGGTAATAATCGATTCCGCTTTTGTGTATCAAAAAAGGGGAGGAGTCGAAGTGTTTAAGAGCAAAAGCTCCAGCATATTGATAAGAAACATGTGTTTTATTCCTTTTGTTTCCTCCGCAAGTACGCAGTTACGAGCATGCAGTCCGCAAGGTAAGTGAAGCTTCTTATGCACTAGGTAAGTCACATTCCAGTAGATCAGAGCGAGAGCCGATCAAAAGAGAATTGCCTGTTCTTATCGATGATATAGCAGCGGAAACTGTTGCGCCATCGTTTGCATAAAGTTGCTGAATCACACTGAAAACCGGAAATAAGCCATTGCTCATGTCGTAAGTATGTTGATGGCAGCTACGATCGAGCGAGATTCTAAAAAAAATACTTACGGTTCAGCGGACGGTCGATAATAGATGCGTAGAACTTGCGAAGGAGAATAATAAGATGTTTGATTATAATTATAGGAGAAGAATCTGTTTCTTTTGAAAATTGTATGAGTCTGTGATTAAAAGACTACCTCAACAACACTGGATGACATGTAATTATCATGGAATTGTCGATATCCCTCCAAATGGAATACGGGGAGCAAAACAGTTTAATGTCCTAGAAAAACAGTAAAGTCTTCAGCAAATAATAATTTTTAGGACAAACATTGACAAAATGAAGCGAATAATCCTTTCCAACACGGTAGACGTGAATAGCTTCCTGGGAGAAGGAAGCAACAAACAGCAAGCTGAAAATAAGCAAATATATCAGAAGAAATATAAGAAACAGCAGATGAAAGAGAAAGTGCAAAATCTGAATACAACCGTTTCTTCTATTCACAAAATGAAAATGGCTTCTACGTCACTTATGATGCGATATCACCTTCGAAAGCGGTCGTATATGACACCGACGGGGGAAGCGACGTCAACCAATTTCTGAACTCTCTTGCCATCAAAAAACAAAACAGCTCCAGACTTCAAGTTAAGAACTCTGCGAAAATGATGACCATTGAAACGTGCTTTTGTTTGAACAAACTTCTCGATGTTTTGTATGGAAGTGCTCTCGTAATGAGAGTGTGAGGTCACAAAAAACTTCTCTCGATCCACGGCAGCAACATCTTGTAGGCTAGAAAAAGGAAGAGTGTGAACAAGATACAACTGAAAACAGAATATCAACTAACTTTAGAAAGATCTTGCTCTTGACTGTCCGCAAGTGTTTCAAGGATTTTCTTTTCTCATTGAAGTTGTAAACCTAGAAAGATTCTATGAACTTCTATCGAGAATGATAAGTTTACTTCAACACTGTCTTTCCTCCCATGATTTACCACAAACACATGTATCTTGTTACGAGACGGAGTCAAACTCAGACTTCCAGCATTCAACTTTTTTTTAGAATCTTGATAACGTGTTCATCATAATGGATAGTTTATCGCCTCACCTATGATTAGCTCCCACACAGTTTTATTATCACTTTGAAAAATAAAAATATTGCTGGGAAGAGTCGTCGAGCAGTTGTCATAACATCGATTCTGAAGTGGAAATACTTTAAACTAATATTTACTAGAATTATCACTGTAATCTTTTCTTAGGAAAAAGAAAAACTGATCACTTACAGCAGACAGGAAAACAGTTCCTTCGAAGGATGTATCGAAGCCAGAAATTCCGTTGGAGAATTGTCCGATTGAGGAACATTCGCCTGGCACATGGTTATAGATCCTGCGATTGATTCCAAACGATTGTCTAAAAGGAAGTAATGTGTTGCCACAGCTGAACAATGAAATGACTTACATGGCGATTCCAAGAAAATAAGTGAAAATAGAAACTATTACAATGTAGAATGATTCAGATTTGCCCAGAAACATCTATGATGACTAACTAAAAACGATAAAAACTATTCATTGTTGTGAATTACAAAACATTAAGGTTTGTTCTACCAAAGAACATGCTCATCTTGTAGTCAAAGACGAGTCTGCAAGGCATTTTCTATTCTTCTGTCTTCTGTCAGTCTCCAAGCACAATATTAAATATTTATAAACAGCTGCTTAATAAGCGTCTTGTATGGCAAATTCGAATGGCAAGAAAACGAACATTATCGTCGTTCATGTGTTAATGAGTATTAAAAGTGAAATTATGAAGGGAACCGGTAAAAATGTGAGAATTTAGGACTGATTGGTAGGGTCTTCGGCTGGACGCACGAATATGGATCCATCGGGTTCCACCACGACCTCTACTTGGCCATTCTGAAAACAAGCATCATTATGTTCTGTACATAACAAGCCTAGACTCACATGACTAGGATCTAACTTCACGAAAAAACCACAAGGTAGTTGTGAATACTCAGGAGATCGATGACCAGGAACGATAGGGACCCATCTAAAATTGACAAACGCTCAGGCAATATTCAAATATATGATTACCGCGCCTCTTTTAGAGGTTGTTTCTCTGGCTCATTTACAGTGGGTTTATTCGGACTTTCTTGATTGGGTACAGGACCAGCCTGCTCTGAACCAGAAGAGCCCCCTTAATCATTAACCGTATTTGAAGTAGCTTGAGGACAACTACCTGCGAACTTTCCGTCTGCGGTTCTTGTTCGACAAATACTATGCCGGCTACGAGAGATGTGCATTATTCGCTGAAGGAAAAGGTGAATCAACTATTCATGAGGGAACGCGTACTTGTCGTTTATCCGGCCACCGACCGTCTTTAATCATTTTTTCTTTTGCTATTCTCCTGCTTATTATTCTATTATATTGCATAGGATTTACAAAGTAGACAAAGGAACCCAAACTGTTCTGGAAACAGAGGTTGCAAACAGTATCTCTGATATACAAACCTCTTCCTGGTACTGTTCTTCGTTAGTATTATGATCCATCTAGAGCACGATATCAGTATTGACAAAAGCGTGGGAAGATATGTACGTGAGGCGAACACCTCAACTGATAAAACAGAAAGGACATATTTTAATATTTATGATTTTAAATATACACATACATATGAGATGAATTGAGGATCATTAAGAAGACATACATACCCATCAATATAACTTAGAGGAAGGAAAGTTAATCATTTCCTTTTTGGTTCATGCGCCTCTTATAAATATCACGCAGAGCTGGCCCGGATCTTCCATCGTCATCACTATCCGAATCACCACGTTTTCGTTTTCCCGTACCCATTGCACCGTAATCAGACATAGACATGGACTGAAAATTATTGTTTTTACGAAAGAGAGAGTGTCTGTGCATCATACCACATGAGGATCTGTTGTTGTTGCCAATATTTGGTAAAACTCTTTTTTAACATCTTCCACACGCATTGGACCGAGCATTGTTCCGTTTTCTAACTTGCAGTTAATATCAACAGAGGGGACTAAATATACTCGAAAATAAAATAAAAACATGAAACAGAAAAAACCTGACGGAGCACTATATTTGATTATTGAATCTATCAATGCATCAACCGATACAAATGGACCACGGAACGACCATGGTGGAGGGAGCATGGACATAAGATGTCCGACAGCTGGTGGCGCAGGGAAAACGCCTAACAGAAAACAATGTAAGAATAACGCTAAAACGGGTACCTCCAGGGACAGGGTGGTATGAACCAGCAGTATTGACTTTTGGTTTGAATGGAATCATCTGATCAGTATCCGGCTTGGGGTATCTTAAACAGCAAACTAGAGTAAAACACGTGGCGGTACTATATGCTAAAGCTAATTAGAATAATCTAGTCCGAGTCCGTCACGTCATTTGAATCACTAAGCAAATGACGCTCGATGCTGAACGGTTGTATCGCGGTTAGCATTACAGATTCGAATTTACAACATTTTTTTAGATACACGTACCCTCCAAGTTCCATATTATTTCCTGTGTTTCCTCCCATGACGGCACTGGCAGCTTGAGGACAATGAACGGAGCGAGAAGGTGCAATTGTGTTTGCGGTAGCCGCATTAGAAGTGATAGCATTACTTCCACGAACAGTTTTCTAGATATAGAAGATGAGAAAGAGGACTAATAAGAAAACTAACGTTGTATCCCATCAATCGGAGCTGTTCATGAGTACAAGGTACCAAGTTCAAAAACTTATACCTGAAAGTTAATTCATTTAAGCCCTTCCCTTTCAGATACTAACCTATCAATCAGCATAACAGCCTCTGATCCAGAATCTTTAGAAGCTTGTCTTCTACGTTCATCAACTTTCAAAGTGGAGGCCAAATCACCGACCAATGACTCAAACTCTAAGTAACGGTCCCAAATGTCTCTACAACATCGTAATAAATAGATGTTCAAAACCTCTTCACTTACCCTTGCTTTTCAGATGGCATTGTTCCTGAGGTTAAAATTCTCTCAAAGACTACTCTGGTGTTATTATCCTCTGCAAATTCAAGTCTCAAACTCAAAAAACGTATTCTATGCTAACCATTAAGATGTGAAAGGAAGTCTACGTAAGCACAAGCGTATTCGGGTTCATCTCCATATTTCTTGAGTCCCAAGTCGAAGACTCTCATAGCTATTTCTTTGTCCTGAAATGATCCAGTTAGTTATAATTCTTCAATACTCAACAGGCCACCAACCTTACTACAATAATATTCCATTAGAGCAGAAGCAACAAAAATGTGGTAAGATGTTCTTTTATCTTCTCTGGCTCTTTTAAAGAGTAAACGGGCGGATTTGACACCTTCTGTTCGACGAACGAACTTGAGATATTGAATATAAGTCTGCGACAATATAATTTTAAGAATTTTTTGCTTTCAGACTTACTAGACTAGGATCGATCGTATCTATCGCGAGTAGTTTATCATAAATCTTCTTCACACTTTCGAACTGCATTCTTTCCTCTTCGAAATCGGCATAAGCATAGTACAAAAGTTGAGAATCTTTCATCAAGCCGTTTATGGCTCTTTCAAATAGTTCTAGAAAGCAAACAGGTAACCATAACATAAAACGGAAAGGATGAACTCACGGACTACTTCAGTTGTCATTTGTTGAGCAGTTCGGACGTCGCCTTTCTGCTCAAGCATTTTACTTGCTTCTTGTAAGAAAACAGCAGCTTCATACCAAATATCAGGGTAGTATCCAAGGCACAGAAGAGCTTGTTCATAAGCGTAAACGACTATAGAAAGCATGAACAACGCATATGATTGAAGTTTTACCTCTCTTAGCGAACTGTCCGTATTCCTCAGTTTCCAATGGATTGGACTTTTCCCATTGAATGTACTTTTTCCACATTTCCACTTGCTTCAGCTCTTGTGTGCTTCCTCTGGGAGGGACAGAAACTGCTTGTCTATTGATACCTCTGGTAACGGCTTCCAAACTTTTAGTAACTTTTTTTGCAGCCTTAAACAACTTTATTCAACAAATAGGTTCAAGGGAAGCAAACCTGATATTCTTTGTTTCTTTCAGCGATGAGCTTTTCAGCTAACGTTGGGTTGATGCTTTTCTCGTAATTGCAGTAATCTTGCCAAAGAGTGTCTATATTGAGCATGGGAGTAGACACTCCTCTCTGATAAACTTTACGAACTGCTGTGATTCTCTGATTTTCAGCGTATTGACCTACTGCTGGTCTAAAAACACGAAAACAGAGTGAGCATCACCCTATTAGACTTACACAATCTTGAGGAAAGATATGTAGTCTGCATATATGGAGTACGAATTAACATCCAATCCGACTTTCTCCAATGCGAAATCATAAGCTTTAGCCATTTTCTCCCTAAACCATAGTAAAGTGAGAAGGAAAAGGGAGTATAAACAAAGCACCTAAAAGTTGACAGAAGGCCTTTCGTTTCCCTGACATAGAACACATATGTCTTCCATAAATCTATATTCAGTACATGAACCAAGCACCTACCAAAAAGCTTAAGAAGAATTTAATTTCAATAATGCTTCCCCTTAACTAACCGCTTCAACATTCTCGAAATTTTTTCCGCGAAGCTGAAAACATGAAAGAAAATAAGCGAATCCATGAAACTATCTTTGTTCCCTTTTACTTTTTGTCATTTTGTTCGACAGAATTTTAACCTCTTTTTAGTTCGACGTAGTAAAATATTTATTACTTTCAAACAGAAAGAAAGAAAATACGGATAAAACAGTGATTTACAGAAAGATAACCTCACCTCATGTTCTATGAAAGCCTTCCAGTAACGTCCTGAGTTCGGAAATTGTGTCACCAATTTCTCATAGAATACCCTAGCCTGATCTATAGGCCTGGCCTGAAATCCTTCTATTACTGCAAGCACACCCTTCCCACTATAACCTGCTGCTCCCTCAACAACAAGTTCCAGGCATCAACATCAAAAGGATTTGTTTCTATTCGCCGTTCAGGACTCAGAACTGAAGCCCCTGCCATTTCTAAATTGTCTTTAGAATGACCACCATAATCTTTAAAAATATTCGTAAGGCTTGAATCCAAATAAAGAAAAAAGTATTTGAAAAACAAATGATTTATAGTTCACAACAATCAACAAAATCAGTTAACTGATTCTTCAGAGTGCTTTCCCTTGAGGACTCCGAGGACACGAGCGCGTCCAGCAGCCTTTCTTTCGACGATGGAACGACGATCCTTATCGAGCTTCAGCTTAGTGATAGCAACCTAAATGTTCACGGTTAGCTGAGCCTAAACAAGTAAACAATGAAACGGTACCATACCTTACTGGTTAATATGTGCACCGGAACTAGTTTACTCAAACCTCACCTTGGAAGGGTGGATTCCGATATGCACGGTAGATCCGTTGGCCTTTTCGCGGGTGATCTTGTCAATGTGGATGACGAACTTCTTACGATAACAACGAATGACGCGGCCATTGTTTCCCTTATGACGTCCACGAGTAACAACAACTTCATCATCAACTCTGAAAACCATAAACTTAAAAAAAAAAACTATTTCTAACCACATACCTGATTGGGATAGCGCGAATTCCGTGCTTGGCTCTCAAGTCCTTGACGAGGGGAGAAGACATAATCTTTCTACGCTCGTGGGAAGGAGCATTGAAATGCTGCTTACGGTTCTTGCCAGAGTCGCTGGTTACGAACTTGCTGAACTTCATGGTACCCTAAAACAACCAAGAAATGAGTGATACTTCATATAAACTGTGTTAATGAAGATTAAAAATACGAAAAAAAATGAAAAAAATCGAAAATATTCGAAATGGGCACGTATTACGTGATCAGAAAAAGAAAATGTAAGCAATCCCTCACGATAAAAGTAAGATTCGCCACAGATTCAGTATCGCATCTAGTGAGTTTTTGAATAGGCCCAAATTTCAGCTGCTTACAGAGCAGAAAATTACGGTAGTCATCTTGGTGAGACTATTTTTTCGCATCGGAGCGCGCTATATATCAAACTCAGCCTTTCCAACACTATCCCCTTCTCTTATGTAAGGTTTCTTGCTAGGAACTTATTATGTTTGAATTAAAAAAAACTATTTTGCAAAGAAAACATGGAAGCATACTATTTATTATGTTTTGAGTTTCTGAAGGTTCACCTTATGTGTTAATATCGGTTTCAAACTGATGCTGAAACATTGCCTTCACCGGTGAGAGTTCGAACTTGAAATTTGATTTCAAATAAACAAACTCTTTCTTATTTTGTTGATAATTTGGAAATATGGTTTAACATCAGTATATTCGGAGCCAAACATCCACTCTTGAATTGTATTTGCAGAAAATGAATCCTGATATTAAAGATCGCGACTACATGTACCGTTTGATCATCGGGTGAGGGGATGGTAACTAAAATGAAGATAACTAGAAATACTTTACAGTCAGCTCTTTTACGATGGTCATCAACAACTTGCTCTATCATTAGCCCAAACAATAGGATGCTCATCTCAGCCTCCTCCACCATCCGACAAGTTGTTTCGGTTAGTCTCTATTGCCAAGCAATTCGTAGACGATCCTGATTCCAAAGACAAGGAGACGTCCATTCAAGTAAATACAAATCAATGATTTATCAGTTTTGAATAGTTTGAGGCATTGTCTAGTGGATTGGATCTTGAGTTTGATGCAGACATAGTTCCGTCTTCACCCGAACCATGTATGTATGAAACCATTTACTTGACATCCCACAAAGCAGCATGTCGTGCTGCAGCTTTCAACGCTGATGGTGAAACTTATCATGCTGAGTTGCTTTATTCTTCTGTTTTGTAGGAACACTCGTAGCAACAGGATCTGCAGATTGTTCTATCAAAATTCTAGATGTAGACCGTATGATATCCCGTGATATGCGAGGTGATCAGAGTGAAGGTCCTGATTCTCAACATCCTGTAATTCGTACTTTATACGATCACATTGATGTAATAGCTTTGTCTTCAATATGTTTTTAATTATTTTTCGTTTCAAGGAAGTGACGACTGTAGCATTCCATCCTAGAGAACAAATCTTAGTATCAGGATCTAACGATAAAACTGTTAAAATGTTCGATTACTCAAAAACTGCCGTCAAGAGAGCTATGAAGACTATCTCTGTAAGCACCCCGGGCCCGGAAATTCTTAAACTCTATTTTTTTTCAGGAAGTGTATCCCGTCAGAGCCATATCTTTCCATCCGGGAGGGGAATACCTTCTCGTATCCACTGAACACCCTACTCTGAGGTTGTATAATGTAGAAACTGCTCAATGTTTTGTGAGCGCAAATGCCGCCGATCAACATAGGGACATAGTTTTAGACGTAAGAACCTTCTATAAGACCTCTAGCCTTACTCTTGATTCAGGTTAATTATTCTGATAATGCCAGGTTATTCGTCACGGGTTCGAAGGACGGAGATGTCAAAATTTGGGATGGCATTTCTAATAGATGTATTGAAACTTTTGCCAGAGCTCATGATGCTGCTGCTATTTGCTCAGCAAGGTTCACTAGGAACGGAAAGGTTGGATTCTACTGTTTCTAAGAGGATGTAATTGGATGTATGTCCTTGTTTCAGTATATTCTAACTAGTGGAATGGACAGCATAGTCAAGTTATGGGAGTTATCAACTAATAGGTGCTTGATTGCTTACACCGGAGCTGGAGCAACAGGAATTCAAGATTTTCCAGTACATGCAGCCTTCAACCATAATGAAGATTACGGTTTGGATGACATCTGATTACTTAACAGCTATGATCTTGCTTTCAGTTCTTTTCCCTGATGAAAAGTCAGGAAGTATGTGTTCATGGGATGCCAGAAACTCTGATAGGAAGCGGTTATTGGCCTTAGGTATGACCCTGTTCCACTTCTCTCATCAAAGTTTTTGTTAAAGGACACACTGCTGCTGCCCGAGCTTTCGTTCACTCACCTACCATGCCGGCTTTCGTAACAGGAAGTGATGACTTCAGAGCTCGCTTCTGGTATAAGAAGGGAACTGGAATATTATAAACTCTTCCATCCACATTTTCTTTTGAAGAAAACTTCCTGATTGAAACACAAAACCGATTTGTAAACTTTATGATCTCAATATAGTTTTGGAAGACATAAATAATGTGAAAGTTAATCAGAAATTCCCTTTGGATAAAGAATTTCCTTAAATATCTTTATTAAACCTCTTCGTACGCTTTGATCTGAAAGGGCTCTTGGGTTCAGGATCTCTCCCAAATTTAATTTTCTTGACATCCTCGGGCTTCGCATTCTGTTCCTTCACACTATCCATGATGATAGTTTCCCCTTGAGAGTCTCAAAAACAACTTTGTTTATGCACCCTACCTTGTCTTACCCTCAAATGCTTCTTGTCCTTCAGTTAACGTCTGTTTGCCCTTCCAATCTACAAATCCTTCCTGCAAAACATCATTTTCTTTTCTTATTCAATCAAGACATACAGGGATATTATCAGCATCACTGAACGGATCGATTGGCTTTTCGAGATTATCCTCTTCAGATTTTATTCTTTCTCCTGGCAGCACAAGTTCTACAAAGCTTCAGACTACTCTGCTATCTTAGAAAACAAACCTGGCGGGAACAAGGGCTCTCCATGAAGAGTCTCCTCATCCAATGGAACAGCAACAACATCTTGAGGTTCGGGAACATGTAGTGGTAGGGGTCGCGCTCTATGGAATTTTCATGAAAGGACATCTTGCCCAAATCAAACCTATAGAGAGGAGGGATTGGATTACTAGGATTTCCCTCGGGTGGATAGAAGGGTGAGATTCCCAGTTTGGATGAAGTACCCTCCTTACCGAAGATAGGCACCTTACCGATGAAGGGGATGTTATCATAGGATATATCAACATATGAGTATGGACCTGAGAAATATTGTAACGAAGCATGATCATATGTGGACTTACTGAAAACGCCTAGCCCAGGACCATAAGCTGTGATGGCATTCAAGTACTGCTGTAGTAGAACAGGGTCAGGGTTTTTCAAAAAAGCATTTTGGCTGTTCACAAAATGAAAAAAACTCAAAAACATAAAGCACCATAGATGCATGTCTATAAGTGAATTCGTATAAGTCGAATATGAGAAGCTTTCGAACTGCTGCGAAAAAAAAAAGAATCAGACTAGGTAAATTTCCCAAAGAATGGAACAGATGTCAGTCGACCCCATTGGGTTTTCTAACCGGCTTTCACTTGGCTCTCTCTGTCGCGGATCGAAATGGTCATTGTTCTTTTCCGGATTGATTAAACTAATTTTTATCAATCATTGAAGTTCCTACATATGATGGGTAACACGAGAATTGAGTGAGAAGTAGTGAAGAGGCGGAAAAGTTCAGACAACCTTTGTAGTTTGTTGTTTTACTTGATCGTTAATTAGTCGATATGTTGTATTGACTCAACCAACGATTCATCTAATTTACTTCATTGTAATTGAAAGGCTGCAATGTGGATCTATTAAATCAATCAACAAACATCAGTAATGTACAGACATCGAGAACATAAAGCTGCTGAAGCTCGTGAGCTTTTAGAGCTGCCTAGACCTCAGGTGAGTTCTTGAAGACAGCATTGTGAACATTGCAATCGTTATAGATTCCTGTGATACCAGAAGGCAGAGAAGTTATCAATTTAGCTTTGTGGAGAGTCTACGAGCCGGGTAACTACAAATCACTAGCTTGGATATTTGTAATTATTTTCAATACTAAGCTTCTGATAGTTTGTAATTCAGGTTGTAGTCTTAGTGTCCTTGTTTGGTTCCATCTTGTTCTTCTCTGGCTTCTGTCATGAACTTGATTATACTTTTGATGTTGTTAATCTAGGAAATTTCAATTATGACAGTATGTTATAGATTTGAGTAACCAACTGTAATTCATTTCTAGAATGTGGTCCTCAAGACCAGGAAAGAGATAACTTCTTAACTCCAGGAACCAGAGTTGTCTTTATGGTCATCGATGCTTGGAGATATGATTTCCTCACCTCAGCCCATTCACCTATGAAGTTTGTCAGGAAAAGCGTTGAAAATGGTCGAGCTGTCATGTTCAAAGGAATTGTTCAGCCACCGACAGTCACGATGCCAAGAATTAAAGTTTGTACAGCTCAACTTCTAAAACCTTTTTTTTTATTTCAGGCTATGACTTCTGGTGTAATTCCATCGTTCACGCAAGCTGTTTACAACTTTTTCACTTCTGAGTCAACCATAGATAGTTGGGTGAAGCAGGCCTTTGATCATAAGAAGAAGTGAGGAAGTTCATTACAATACGGCTGGTTTTACTTTTTTTTTAAGAATTGTATTTTATGGAGATGATACCTGGGTCAAGTTGTTTCCGTTATACTTCAGTGAGTTCGAAGGAGTGCCGTCTTTCAACGTCAAGGACTATACAAACGTTTCTCTGAACTTTATATAATGTTACATTCATTGATGTTTAGGTTGATAATATTGTTACCGAAAACATGCGTAGGCAGTTGAACAGCACAAGTTGGGACTTGATGATTCTCCATTACTTAGGATTAGATCATATAGGTTAGTTTTCAGTTTTCAACCAATTTGCTCTACGCCGCATAGCTCCGCGTCATGTTCACGTAACGTTTCGTCAGTTTACGTGACGTGAAGTCACGTGATTGTCATCTCACTGGTTTTATTTTTACTGCAAAGTTGAGAAATGCGGTTGTTCTTGCTATAATTATTTGGCTCTTTGTGAAGTTAGTTTTTAGGGCATTCCCTTGGAGCCAAATCATCGAAAATCAAACCAAAGCTAGCAGAGATGGATAGCATTGTTGAAGAAATGTATAAGAAATTATCGGTTCGTTAACATTGATATTGTAACTCACAGATTTAAATATTCAGAAAGAAGGTCCTCTAACCATGGTAGTACTAGGTGATCATGGAATGAATGACTTGGGCGCTCATGGCGGTTCATCTAGAGAAGAAATAGAAGTTCCCATTGTTATTTTCCACAACAGAGCGAAAGTGGTGAACTCCATGAAAATAGGAAAAGGTTTGCTCTGTTACGCCTATTTGTTTCATGTGGAGAATTTGAGATAAGCCATATGACGTTTTTCAAGTGGATATTGCAACAACAATGGCAGAGTTTCTTAGAGTTCCTCTTCCAGAAAGAACTAGAGGCGTATCATTGCTACCTCTTTTGCAAAAGTGAGCCTCCTTTTTGTTTATTGAAAATCCCGTTCATAATATTTGTAGATATTGGTATATGCAATATCAAACCCTACTGCACAGTAACATAAGGCTTTGCTTGCAGCTTAGCAGATATGTTAAACGTAATCCCGAGCTTCTTCTCTTCTCATTAAGTGTTTAATCTTACAGATGCTCCATCAGTTGAACGTTTTTTATCTGCTGAAGTAGGAGATGATAGAAAGAGTATCTGCACAATTGGAGACTCTTTAGGTAACTTAAGCGATAATCTTATTGTAACCAGCAAACTCGTTCAGTTTACCCCACAGCTGATACGATAAAGTCTTGGAGTAGAGAATTGCAAAATAGAATTCTCAAATCCGTTGATGAAACGTGGGAAGTAGCTTCTTATACCGGGCTGATCCTTGTTGGAGCGGTTTGTATTAGTGTTATTTAATTTTCAAGCTTTTTTTTAAGATGGGTCCCCTCATGGTTTTCAATGATTTCAAACACGTTCATGCTATAGGGTTCAAGGTTATAACTCATTACGTTCTGATTACTGTTTAGTGGTTTCAGTATGTTGTTAGCGTATATCATGTAATCGAGTGGTTCTTGATATTCACTCCTGTCATTTCTATCTTTTCTAGTAGTTTGGTAGAGGAAGAGCATGATATGTGGTAAACGGAAAAAAAACTGAATGAATTGAGAATTTTGTTTTCAGGAATTACTACACTTGTGTGGTGATAGTGATACGAGCATTTCAAGTTGTCCAGCATGCATTATGGCTTCCATTGATCGACTTTGGAGTTATTTGGCAGATTTGTTCAAATTATTCATTGTTTGTTTCAGATGAACATACGGGAAGACACTGAATTAACACGTGAGAAACGAAGAAAGCGGGCTTATCGTATTATATGGAATGCTTGTATTATGTTGTTCTGCCATAGGTTTGCTGTTGCTTTTGGTGCCAGCAGCAGGCGGAGGTGGAAGATGGATGCAGGTGGTCGCTAATTAAATCAACAAGCATAGTATTATCCTAGAACTCATGCCTAAGCCCATCTATAATGATCCTGATTTCATGAAGAACCTGTATTGGCTTACCCGAAGAACAGATCCTCAATATTTCTTTGGGTTAGTTACGCTACACGTGTTTGAATACTTCTGGAATACTTTAGGAAAATACTACCAGGCACCTCTGTGATTTTTGCTGGGGTTTATCTAACTTCTATGTGTAATAAGTATTTGAAGTCAAAGTACCGTGGTTCGTTCCCTTTCCAATCCATTGTGCCTTTCTATACTCTTGTTCTAATAACCAAAGGACTAGCTATAACTTGTGGGATAGAGTAAGTTGGAACAAACTGATGCTTTTGATGATAATCTGGTTTTAGAGACAAGGCTCTGGCTATAATAACACCTATTTCATTATTGATAACCGTATTAACGTTCTGGTTATCCCCCTCGATATCCATCATCTTCTACTTGTTATATCTCTGTAAGCCCGAACAACAAATTTTGTTAATTTTGGTAAGTCGAGATTATGGAGGAGCTCCATTACTTGATCGCTTCTTTAAGGCTTATGAGCTGGGTTCAAGAGCTAAGCTCATTTATATTGACCGATACTTCTTCTGTATTATGTTCTATACAACGTTTTTCTATTCGGTCAGTGAACATATATCCGGTTACGATTAACATCGCTAGTTTAGGGTACGAGTAATAAATTAGAATCAATTGATGTCAATGCCGGGTACTATGGCATATCAGAATACAATGTGATAGTTGTTGGTTTCCAAATTTTTATGAATACTTATGCTCCGTGTATAGTTTTCCTTTTTTCATATGTGTAAGTTGATTTCTCTTTCTTCACCGATACCCTCCACCATTACTTAGGTTTTACACTTCTGCCGAGTATAATGTGCTGGTATCACCACTACAACAAGAAGTAGCCAAAGTGAGAGGAAGAGAAGCGCATGTTGACTTCTTCTATATTGTTCACTTCCGTATTCTACTGGCAGGAACTGCAATCATTGCTATGCAGTAAGATTAGTCTGTCACATAATGTCTCAGCGACTCTTACAGATTTTTCTCTGGTCACTTGTTCGTTTGGACAGTTTTCGCACCAAAAGCTTTATTTGAGGTTTGAGACAACTCTCTCATCCTGTCCCACAAACTCTTTTCAGGTTTTCCACTGCGCTATCGTTTTGTTTGTGTCGTCGTTATTCACTTTGCCGGCTTTTTGTGCCGATTACACAGTTTGAATGTGACTAATTGTAATTTAAATATTTCACTAAAACCATAACTTCTAGGTTATATGTTAATATGTAATATTAATTGTTCAAGATATGATGAAATATCGTGATGGGTAAATAAATTATTCCAAACACTATTTGATTTGAACTGTATAACGCTGTTGTATAGATGTGACCTTATGACTATTCACTCGGCTTCATACTGGGTCGGGCGGGAAAAAAATTGTGCCAATGAATGGTGAAAATTGGTAGTACATCGGCAGTAAAACAATGGTTAAGAACTGAAAAGGGGTTTTTGGAAATTGAAGGAAATGATTGAATATGATAAACAAGGAATAGTTGTGAAGCCTAGGATTAGAAAATGATTGGACTAATCGTTTATGAGGGTGGGAATGCTATAACTGTATCAAGGCTTTTCGCTTTTAAAATTATCATTTATCGGATAATCCGTTGAAAAAATCTCATCTGAATTTGAGGAAGTATGTTATTCATACATAGTTCCATTACAATGAATAGGAAACACGTGAAACCAAAACAAACGAACACCGTCCATATATGGGTAATGCAGATAGTGAAAGCGATAGTGAGGATGCTCGCTGTTGTTAATGTAGTTTGTTCTGATATTTAGACAAAAAAACCAAAACAAAAGTATTTGTAATAAGGTAGAAAGTGTCTGTACAAAATTCTGTGGAAAGAGGTTCCAAATTCACTGATTTATGACCAACTTTCCATAACGCTAAACTACAAACGACAATGGGATCAACGGCATTCAATGAGATATATCTAATCAATGATATCATATAAAACCATTTGGACTTTTATGAAACTGTTCACAACTTCACTCTCTACCATTAGAAAGGTGGGATAATCCTTTTGAAACAATAGAAACTTTTATAAATCTCGTTTTTCACAAAATTTTCATATTCCAACTAAAAATTTTTTTGTTTAAGGTTGTTTTTCTCAACTTTTCCGACTTTTTAGGATAAAGTGATTAGCTTCATCTGAAAGATTGAAATGTTTTCTATAAGACCACGGTGGTTTCATTTCGATTGATGAAGTCTTCCTCATCTTATAAGCTTCTGAAGATGATGCATTCAACCTATATTAATGTAAGATGAGTTCGCGCGGGCGATTAGCGTATGGGGTTGTGACAGGGGACCCTCCTGGACTGTATAAAGGTCGGTCGTGACGCCAATGGTTAACCAGTCCTAACGACTAAGCTCTAATAATGTCTGCCGCTGTTGCTTCTGCTCCCGTAGCATCTTCTAATGCTTCTAAGCCTAAAGTTTCTAAGGCTAAGATTGCTGTTAAGTCTCTTCACCCTAGCTACCTTGATATGATTAAGAAAGCTATTGGAGAGCTTAAGGGAAAGAGTGGATCTTCCAAGCCTGCTATTCTTAAGTATGTCCTTGCTAACTTCCAAGTTGGAGACAACATCATCCAGGTAAATCATTTAGTTATTTATTTGTTTACTAATTTCCATTATTTAAAGGTTAACTCTCATCTCAGAGTTGCACTCAAGAGAGGTGTTGCTAAGGGTGACTTCAAACAAGTTAAGGGAACCGGAGCTTCCGGATCTTTCAAACTTGGAGAGAAGAAGCCAACTCCAAAAATCATCAAGAAGGTTGTAGCCAAGAAACCCGCCGTCAAGAAGACCAAGGCCGCTACCAAGTCTACTACTGAGAAGAAGGCTAAGTCTCCCAAGAAGGCCGCTGCCAAGTCCAAGTCTGAAAAGACCGAGAAAAAGCCAAAGGCTGAGAAGAAATCTGTCAAGGAGAAGAAGGCCAAGTCCACCAAGAAAGTAGCTGCCAAGCCCAAGACTGAGAAGAAGGCTAAGGCTCCCAAGAAGGCTGTTGCTAAGCCTAAAGCCAAGAAAGCCGCTGAGCCTAAAGCTTAAGTTGCTGGTATAACCCAAATTAACCCAACGGCCCTCTTTAGGGCCACATACACTCTTATGTTTGGATCTCATGTATAAATCTTTTAATATTTACTTTGGTTATGTTTGTATTAGTAGGTCAGACGTGAGTCTGATTTGAATTTCGGCGGGAAGAGTGTGTGAGACGTCATGTCAGTCTGGGTTCCCCGCTATACAAGAATAAGACAAGTGACGCACATTTCTGCATGGTTTCCAGGCATGTACGGTTTCGCTGATGCGCAGCAAAGATATTTTTAGAGAAATGAATTTTAAAATAGAATTGTTTAACAGGAAGAAAGTAAATTGTTAGTTTTGAAAACTTTGTTTTTTCACAGTTTAATTTCTAACCCGTCTTAGCGCAGTTATTCAATAATAATCTGCTCACGAGCTTAGAGAACCGCCCCCATAAAGTATACAATTCTCGTAATTATCTATATTTTTTCAAACATTATTGTTATCAGGGTGCAGTTGAAAGTAAAAGTAATACATGGAAACGGAGTTTGACTAGAAATTCTTTTCTTTATCAGAGAGCAACCGATTCCTAAGCGTTCTGATGCGAAAATGATTGTTTTGCTATTGGCAGTTTCACGTGGAACACGTGGAAGATGAAACGAATAGAAGTCATACGACAATGCATAATAAAGGTTTTCCAAGTAATTGTGTTGGTGATATTCAAAAGGTGAGTATAGATAGATCAAAAAGAAGATCATATTCAGTTCAAGAGTAGCTCATATTGAAAAACGGCTGTTGTAAGAAACACAAATCGCAGATAATCCGATGACTGGAAAAATGATAATCCGCATAAGATTTCCGAAATCACTTAAAACACTCCCCCGCAATGGGATAATATAAAAGAAGACTTCCAGACTTTCCACCTTACTTTTTTACTCGAGATTGGACAATTTTTTCTTCTCTCTGCATTGCTTATGTATGTTTTTTTTCGTTGATTCTCATGTTGAGCCATGCAATTCGTTTAGATGATTTTCAAATGTAGCCTGGACTACGATCGTTCCTCTTCAGTCATTCTTAATTGTACCATTTGTGGTGATAGGGCAGACGGCTATCATTTTGGAGCAATTTGTTGTGCAGCTTGTGGTGCCTTCTTCAGGTAATTGAACTGCTCTCATAGCGATATCTAATTGTTCATTATAGAAGAAGTGTTTCTGATCAGAAAGTGTATTCATGCTACTCGAAGAATTGTAATGTACAGTATGGTAAGTTCTTTGCCTCTCTCTCACATATAGTGTAACATCTCCAATCATTATCAGAATCTCTAAAGCGAGGTGGCGTGTGTAGGTTTTGCCGCTTTCTCAAATGCTTGCAATCTGGAATGCTCCCATATGGTAGTATCACACACACGTTAGAAAGTATTTTTAACTATGAATTAAGAAGTACGAGCTAAAAGATCATCGTGTTTTGAATATCGAAGTCCGACAGGAGTATTCAAACAAATTGTTATCGGTTCTCATCTAGAAATGATTGTTCAGTTAAGACGGGAAATGATGTCATTCCAAAACATACCTTTCAATGTAAAAGTTTCCGAGAGAACTCATCATCCTCTGATCATATTCATTTCAGTATGGTATCAAAGCAACGTTTCAAACATTCAAAACGACTCTAGATGAAGAGTTTCGTATCTTTCAACGTCTAATGGGATTGTATAATGGTATTTTGAGTTTGTTAAGTAGCTGTGAGAGCTCAGAGGACTTTGAACCAAATATCAATTGGTATCAATTGGATGAGGTTTTAGTATCTCAAGAAACAATACCGTCTCTCATAAATATTATTTCAGAGAAGTCAAATGAAAGACTTGTTTCTAATGTTTTTCATTCACGAGTGCTGTCTTGCAACAGCCATATATGGCGGTCTTCAATTGGATCGACTTATTCTCCCAAACATGTCTTATATTGATCTCTCAGAAAGTTCCCTCGAAAGCTTTTATGGTAATGAGAGATCAGCCAAAGATCCAGCATGCTTAGCCAGGTTTTCAACACATACTATTAGAGAACATCTATAAGTCCCTCTCTCTCTCTCTATAGGTTATCATTATCGTGTCTAAACTTTCTGGTTCATACAATGTCTCGCTCATTACAAGCTGCTCGTTTGGATGAGCCGGAGACTGCTTTGCTCTTTTTCTGCTCTCTTCAACAAATAAGTTTGTTTTCAATTTCATTGCTTTCATCCTTCCTATCTTTGGTCACAGCAAGCAGTCACCGAAGAAAAAAAATGAAAAAAAGATAATTCATTTTCAAATTTTTAGTTCCCGCCTTCAAAAGAACTAATCCATCACAAGTTTTGTTCTCAGCCATTTTAACAGATATTTCAATAACAATCAATACATCAGGCAAAAGACAACATCTTTCATTTGTTTATAACTCGTATTCAGGTTATGATATATCAACTCGAATGGGAAATATTTTATTATTGCTAACGCCTCTAGTTCAAGGTTTTCAAGCTTTTAAACAACTTCTTACCATTCTCGAATTAGCTGAAATACATTGGTCTTCTGAAGTTCTGATCTGAAGCACCTCAACTTCATATTCTATGTTATCATTCAAACTTCCTCTTTCGTTTCCTCTTTACCTGCTCTTTCTTTTTTCTCTCTCTCTCTCTCTCTTTGTCGTTATTGCTATCGCATCTCTCATCTTCCCTCATTATCCTTCACTTGCTAAGACGAAAAGAGAAAAAAGTTCAAAAAATATAGTAATATTAATAAAAATCTAATCACGTATTTGCGTTGTGTCGACATTGCTGTTCTACATGTGAAAGCAGAAAAAAAGAAAATTAGTCGAATGGCTTTAATCTTTAACACTTTGTTTGTGAGCGAATGCAACCGTTCGGTAAGTGAGTACAAGATGGAAATGAAGAATATGAAGTATTTAGAGGACGAAGCTAATTTGCATATTCAAAAAAATGTTTTGCAAATTCTCTCTCTCTCTCTCTTTATCTTTCCCTCTCTCTCTCTTTATTTATATATATATAAATATATATATATATACATATCGCTTTACAGCTTCATCTTATCAAATCGCATTTTCAATTTTCACTCATTTTCATTTTTATTGTTGTTTATGCATTTAAACAGGTGGGAAGAGAGCAAAAAAAAAGGAAGAATGAAAAAAAAAATGAAATTCTGATAGGAATAGTTGGGTGGCTGAATGCGTCCGTCTAATACAGCTCATGACCATTTTTGGAATTTTGCTATTTCTATCACTTTCAATTTAGTTAATTGTCATAGAAGATACGACTTGCAGCTCATGTTGCCTACGAAGAGATTTCATTGAAAAACATATTGAAATAGAAAGACGATTTGAGAGAAAAGACATGGAGAGTCATAGAAAACAAGAGCAAAAGCTTTTAAAGGGTGGAAAGAAGAGAGCTCAAGCAGTTCTTTTGCATGTGTCCCATCGGTGTCGTCGTCATGGCCTTCCTTCTCAACCCCCCTCTCCAACCTCTTTCCTCTCATAACTCACAAGAGTATAGTTGTCTTCTGCTATCTTTATACTTTTTTGATTTACTTCGTCAATGGAATTACAAGAAAGGATTGCAAAAGCAACTCTCAGAGCTTTTCCTTCCACCATTCACACAGAAATTGTTTTCTTCTTTTCTCTCCTCTTCCCTCTCTATCACTATTTTCCTGTTTTGTTTGTTTTTTTATTGAATCGCTCAACTGTTTGAAACTTATCATTCCATTTGTGAGGCTACAACTCCTCAGCAAGCCCTCTCCATACATGCCTACATCCACATTCATACTTCTATCATTCACTTTCGCATTTTCTTGTGAGCTTAATTAAAATTAAATATTAATAAGTCTTTTTCTCCTTTCATCTTCACCAACTGCCTGTCATCTCAGAAATATTTGAGACTTCATTTAAAAAATTATTAGGAAATTTGAAAATGAAAAGGCGGGAATACGAAAATGGAATAGAGTTTTTGACCTTTCTAGGCTTTCCCTCTAGCATTTAAGGGTTTCGTTTTGTTAATTTTTCATTATCTATCCATAAGACGTTTTGCATATTTTTCTTTTCAACTACACATACACACACACACAGACATACACGTACACACAGACACACACACACACACGTACACATGCCAACTGAGAAGAGAAGCTTAAGCGATCTGAGATTTGCGCTGGCTCAATGCAATTTCTGTTAATAGTTCGCCAACTTATAACGAAATATTATATTTTCTATTGTGTTAATTTAACAAATATTTAATATGTGTTACGTCATCAGCTTTAATTACATGATGAATACGAGAGACCTAGCAGCTGGTTATCTCAAATTCTCCAACCACACACTGGTGTATGCCTGCACAAGGAAGCGAAAAACCTTTTTTTTTCTTTTTTTTTTCTTCTAAAGTTGTTTTGTGATGGTTTTTTCCTTGCTCCTTCCCTCCTTCCATATCTGTAATCATCTGATTCCCTTCTTCTTACTCTCCTGAATCGATGGAGTTTGGGAAAATGGGAAACGAAACTACAATTCTCCGTAATGTATCTTTCGCTTTTCTTATTCGACTTCTTTGTATTCGTTTCTTTTCTTTTTGTCTATCATTAGGATAGGAAGGAAAGTGTGTTTGTGAGCTTGCGAGGAGTTGAGGTAGAGTAGGATGGAGAAGGAGGGAGGTAGGGAGGGAAGGAGGGAATGGGTGCATGAGGGGGGAGGGCAAGAGATTGAAAAGTTGGCTGAACATTGGGTAAACATGAGGACATAAGGAAACCATCAACCTTCTCCTATGCCACATATTAGAGTACTTCTCTCAACTTATCCAATATTTGGCAAAACACCTTCATTTTGCCCAATTTTAACTTTAATTTGTATATTTTCCTTTTGTTCGCTACAGACCGTTCTTTGATCCTCAAAATCTCAATAATCTACAAATTTCATTTTTATTTTTGTGTTTCAGTTAACGTTTGAAATAAGTTTGTGTTAACAGAGTGATATTGGATTGAAAGTGATTATGCTGTTGTGCTCATACTAACACAGCTAGCTGCATCATCATCATCGTCATCACAATGAGTTCTCGACGTGTATCACTACCTGTGTCGTTTGGAACACATTTAGCTCCATCGCCAACGTTCTCGCCTCAACTTCAACCACCAATCGCTTCGCCCACATCATCTGGACGACGGTTTGTTTTCTTTCTTCGTGTTGTTTCCATTTTCATTTCTAAAAAAATCAGTATAATCTTATAAGTACAAGAAGAAATGTTATATTCTGATTAGAATATCAAGAATGGTAGACAACAACTGCAAAACACAAAAGAAATTGCAGATCGCTACCGACAACTCCGCAATCACTTCGTCGTCTTCCGATTGTTCCTCGATCTCCAGCATCGCCCAGACCATTCAGTCCTCGTCTTCCTGATTTAGATGAACGTTTTCCTACATGCTCCAGCAGTTCCAGGTATATTCATATCAACTCACACCTCATACACAGACTCTCACTCTCTCTCTCTCTTTCTCTTTCTCCCTCCCTCCCATCTCTCATCTGAGCAACATAATGGTTTTTGATGTTTTTTTCGTCATCCATGATGTTTCGAATTAAATTCTTCTTGGGAGTGTTCCAGGAAGTTAATTTATTCTGAATTTCTTTTAATTCACCGACACCACAAAAGGAAAAACTGCCAAAGCAATGCTCATGATTGAATTTTATTTTGAAATATTCTAAACTTCCTGAAGAATGTCTAGCCAGCGTTGTTTGCAACTTTTTGAAATAATTGGATGAGATGCTTGAATTCTCGAAGCTGCCATTCCTGGCCAATTCGATAATTTCCAATTCAAATTATAATTAAAGTAAAAATATTTCTTCATCTCTCTCTCTCTCTCTATCTATCTATATTCATATTCCCTTTAAGGATAGCCCTTCCCTCTTCCCTTCCTAGCCAGACACACTCATAGTAGGTCTCTATCTCTCTCTCTCTCTCCCTCTCCCTTTCTACCCTCTCTCTCTCTATACTCTTCAAAGTATATTTATAGTTAGTTATTCTAAGCTAAACGCAATTTCACAAAAAAAGGAAGTTGCAATAGAATATCCGTCTCACTCTTTTCAACTTTTCTTTTATTTACACATAACTTTCTATTTTTATACGAAATTCTCTTATCATTAGCCAAAATCTAAATTAACCTTGATCATCTTCAACACGGCTCTCTCTCTCTCTCTCTGTACTCAAGCCGTACACATACTTCTCTTCTACTGCTCCAAGCTTCTTCCTTTACTCACTCTCTCTCTCTCTCTCTCTGTATAGCTTCCACGTTTTACGACAAAATTATTTTTTCATTCCGTTCCATTCCATGCTAATCAAAATTGAATTAGATAATATAAAAATATATTTTTAAAACATAATTCATTCAGTAAATATCTGTGAAAATGCGTTCGTCTTCAGACGCCTCTCTGCTTCAGATGACGATAATGCCTTTTGCAGCAGAGAAAGCATTTCAAAGACTTTCTCCAAATTGTTTCTCCTCCCTTCTCCAATTATTTCTGTGAGGCTATTGTTTGATTTGAGCTTTTGATTGAGAAATTTCCTTTTTTTTTTTCGAATGCTCATGATGTAACATTCCAGATGTCTTAATGACTTTCGTTAATAATTTATCTTTTTCAATTGAAACATTCTGTCTTTGAACATGCGCTCCTCGATCCTCCCCCCCCCCCCCCCTCCTCATCGCATCTTCCCCCTACCTCCCTTTCCCCCTCTCTCTCTTTGAATGGGCAAAAAATCATAAAAATCTTTTTATTTTGGCCATTTATTTTTAAAAATGGGAATAATTATTTATTATGAACTCTCAAACATCATACGGATACGTCAAAAGTAACGGAATCGAGAGAAATAACAATTAAAGTGCTTTGTTGCTATGCTTACAACAGGAAGAACGCTGAAAATGTCAAAGAGAGGGAGATAGAGAGAGAGAGAGAGGGAGAGAGAGAGAGAGAGGACCGATACAAGGAGGGAGGGAAAAAGAGTAACAGGATTCAAGGCAAGAGGCTATGTTTTTAAACAAAGAACAGATGAAAATAATCAGAGTATATTCTCTTTTTTTCTTTCACACATCTCATTTGTATGTCCTGCATCCTTGGCCGCTCATTCTCAGCGATTGCTGTGCGCGTCGTTTTCCGAAATCACAATTTTATATAATTCTAATTAAAGTTCATAAAATATACGCGTGATGTTGATTGCGGGTGGATGGCGGTTTTCACGTGCCACGTCATCCACGTGACGCCTATGCAACGCTTGACCATTTCACCTGCGAGTTCATTTGTGGATCAAGTCAGCGTGCGGAACGGTTGTTAGAGCGAATGATGTGGGGGCGAAAGCAGATTAAATATTAATAAATTCCTTTTTGTGAATACAATATGCAAATTGAGCTTTCTATTGTATTTCCTATTGTAATTAGTAAAAGATGAAGTTGAAGCAAGTTTCAGACTCAAACTTGAGGACTTCCATTAATATTGATTCATGTCTACATGTACATATAAGGCAGCAAATCTCATTCTCATTATAGCAATTCTTTTTTTATTTTTTATGGAATAGTTTCAGTTTTTAGCATAATATAGTTAAATGTCATATTCAACAATACATTTGTTGTGTTTTTCAGTTCTGATACCTCTCCACGCCATTTGAGACGTAAAAGGATAACGTGTCCCAGGTAGGCTTTTATGACTGATTTATGTTAATTATCAAAAGCAGTACTTCTCTCTCTCTCTCTCTATCCGAAACAGCATGTACTTTCATAACATCAACGACAAGACCTTATTTCTTTATGACTTTCTTTCTCTTTTTCTCTCTCTCTCTCTGTTTATACCTCTCTCATCTCTCTAGTTCTCTCTCCCTCTCTCCTTCATCACCATAATTGAATTATAAAAAATCTAAAAAGTACAAAATGCTTAAAAAAATGAGTGTTGAATTAGCATTGGATTAGTTTGAATACAAGCATTTTTGGTTATTTTGCTTCCTTTTCCTCTCTTTCTTGCTCTCCTCCATCTTCTTCATCATGTACAGATGGATAGCTCACTCACTCTCTCTCTTTGTATGTGTCTATGTCTCTCTCTCTGTTACTCTCTTACAATCTCTTTCTTATTCCATTTTAACTAGAATTATCTCATGAATAATATATATTTACAATCTGATTGTATGTTCTTCTTTTCATAGATTTACGTGTTATTTTCATTTTCTAACAGAAATTAGTCTGTTCAACAGCTTTTCATTCAAGCATAAAGCTGTATTTTTGTCATCTCGGAGACAGATTAAGCATGAAAAAATGTGGAAAAAAGAGATTGTGAACGAGAGAATTCCTGCTTTTCCGTTGTCTTGGTCAGAATTTCGTTCCCTCTCATTCTCTCTCTCTCTCTATATGTATTTGTCTGTCTGTCATTCTCTCTATTGCCATCTATGTTGTGCTCTCTGAATCTTTCCCCTTTACCTTCAGCTGAGCTTTATTCATTTTTGAGCTTTTCCATCTCGTACAATAAAAATCTCTCTTTTCATTATCTTTTTCAACAATTTCATATTCTTTTCATTCATTCTTCAAAAACTTTTTTTTCCTTCTCTTTCCTTATGAGCCTGATGGAGCTGGCTTGATATTCTCACAATTTGAGACTCAGTTTCCCAGAGATGATCAACTTGCTTTCCTCTCTCCTTCATAAATCTGATACCATGCAACCTTCTTACGTTCAAAGAGAACATACCTTTCGTACATATTTCTTTTATTTAAATAATTTTTGTTCTTTTTAGATATCAATACTCTCTTCGAGACAGTGGCTATATGGAACATAAGGAAGAAGATGACGTAAGCCCATTTTCCATAATTATCTCATTTTCATTCAAACCCCTTTTAAGGAGCTTTCGAATATTGACCAAGAGGGCACATTACGGAGTTTTGCGTACAAGAATGGAGCTGTCATAGATCATGGTTATCAGGTTAAGTCATCAAATAAGAATACATACAAAAGAAAAGGTAAGTCAATCATTGTTGCATTGAAAATTACTCAAAATGATAAATGACAGACACAAGGCGATCGACATGTCCTGAGATTTGGCTTATGCCAGAAGCTGAAGAAACAAAGCCTTCCAAACGAATTGTTGTAAGAATCTATGGAAGTAAAAGCACAGGCAAAAAGACATTAGCTCATAATATATATCATCACGCAACGACAACTACTCAAGAACAAATTGTTATTTTATGTAAATGTTCCTTTTTTATATTCATCTCACCATTTCCCCTTTTCCATGATACAGCCAGTGAGAACACTAAAGAAGTCGGATGTTCACGTTATATCAGCTTTCTCCTCAATGGTGAAGAGGTCCAATTGGAAATTTTACAAGAATCCGCACTAGAGGTTTCAAAGTTCATTCACAAACTCTCCTTTTATAATTTTTTTCTCGCAGTGCTCACCCTTTGGAGCTCATCTGACGATGTATTTGGTTGTTTATAACATTGACAGCCGAGAATCCTTTCTAAATGCCGCTCAATTACTAAATAGGTTCGAAAGAGGGAACAAAAATAGAGAGAGAAATCTAGAGAGAGAGATAGAGAGAGAGACCAACAGACGAGGGACAAACTTTTTCCATTTTTTTCAGAATTCATCAGACAAATACTTCGAAGGTTGCTCGAGTCCTACTGGTGGCAAATAAAGTTGATTTAAAACGAAATCAAGTTGTATCATCCATAGGTTTTTTGAATTTCAAATGCTCTCATTGAAATTGATTTTGAAGAAGGCAAATCATTAGCGAAAATATACAAATGTAGCTTCGTGGAAGTTTCTGCTCTACTCATCGTTAACATTGATGGTTTATGGAGTGATATAATCAAGCAACTCGAGGTATCATTTGTGATTCCCATATTCAATCACATGTACTGCTTATAGCATCCCGGAGAGACGACATGGATGGAGAGAATCGTCAATCGAGGAAAGACATTTGCAAAGTCTTGTGAAGAAATCGTTCAGAAGTTGATTGTGACATGATAACCATGATCAACCGTTCAACCAAATATTTACGAAAATTAATTTTTTAATAAATGTTTTACTTAATGAGTTCAAAGATATTTGCGTACAGCGGATCGTTCTCGGCCAAGAATCTGCTGTTGAATGCGTCACGAGTCATCTTCTTAAGGTCTTCCTCGGACAAGTTGAACTCTTTGGCGGCTATTTGCAATTCTCCCGATAAGGTTATATCCATTAAGCCTTTATCATCTGTCTAGAAATAGAATATGAGCCGGATAATGAGGATGCTGTATGAATTTTCTGAAAAAGTTGAGAAAGTGTCTTACACATAATACAACGGGGACATCCAAGTTCTTCCAAAAGCTAAAGTGAGATTCGGCGTAACATGAGTTCGTCATACAAAGGATATTTGATGTCAAACATATCTCTTAAATCTCAAATATTGTTTTTTCCCACTCCTTTACATTTCTCACCGAAAGGAATTTTCTGCTTTGCTATCTGATGGACCCATCTATCCTCAAGATGAAGGAAACTACCATGGGCAATTCTATCAGGTCCGAACTGCAGCATTGCATCTACTTCATCCAAGCAGTTTTTCAACTTGAATGATTGTTGCATTCTGTTTGTTTCATATGTTTCTTACCTCAGCTAGATGAATTGAAATCTTCAATCCTCTATGACGAGCTTGTCTAAGGACCGGAAGAAACTTTTGGCCGTCGCATGAAGGATCACCGGCTAGACCGATACCAACTACTTTGCCATATTCTGAACACATGGTTATGAATGAATGAAATTTGTATTTTCAAACTTTTAGCGAACTGCTCAGCTAATGCTACAATCTCAGAAGCTTCCTCAACCGACTGTCTTCTATCAATGGTGAGTATGAAGCGGACGACAATCGGCAAATCGCTTGATAACTCCAATGCTTAAGCAATCATTCATTCAAAGAGCAAATGATTGATAATCAACCTTCATGTATTGTCATAATGTAGTCAAACTTGGTCATATCTCCAACTTTCTTGGGTGTTGTTCCCAGCTCCAGATAAACAACGCCATCTTCATTGAATTCTCTAATCACATCCATAGTTGCCTTTAAGAGGTTCCTCTCTTTCCCGTTAATTAAAGTGATATAGACTTACAGTAAGCAAAGCTTCTTTTGTTTGAATTAACTTATGAATTAAGCCAAAATACTTGAAAACTCTTAAAAATTGAATAAACGCTGATTAAATGGATGCAACTCACTCATCCATCGTCTTAGGCTCATTTAGAATCAGTGATTTCAAATCCTCCTCTGAGCCATCATTTTGGTTATGAAGCTTCTGCATAGTTTTCAATGAGATACTTCCATTCAGATGAGCATGTAGTTCCTTAAATGGTAAAACAGTATCTCATTGATAGCAGAGTAACGCTCACAATCTTAGGAAGGCTCTTAGTACTAACAGAGGACATCTCGGTGCTTGGATGGCTGCAAGAGAAGATAAAAATGAAAAAATGAAGTTTCATATAACATTCTCGTTTATATAAAAGTGCGATAAGACTTTCGCAAAAAAAAAGAAAGAAGAGAAACGATAACAATTTTAATCTTGTTGTACAAAAAAATATAAAAAGATTCCAATAAAATTATTAGTTTGAGCGTTGAAGTCTTTGAGATATTTGAATATTTCGAATTTCCACGTGAAATTACGTGACGTGGGCACGTGTATGACGGATAATGTGATTTCATTTTGATGATGATTAAGATGATGAGCGGTTGTAATGACATGTCAAACAAAGGAGGAATTTGAACAAAATATTGTTCTTAAAGGTCAATGGAGTACATAGAAGTGCTCAAGAGCTAATCGAAGTGTAGTTTGATTCGGGAATGTCATACATATAGTTAATGGGGTTTGTAGTTAGTTATACATATCTTCCAAGTTATTATCGGCTAGAAGATCTAATGTTGGGGATGAGATTGCTTACTTCGTCATGGCTATTGGGCTCTCACCTGTGAGAAGGTGGATATGAGTAAGAGGGGAAGGCAAGGATTAGGATAATAGCATAATTAAGATAAGATGAAGCAGGTAGATAAACTATTGTTCCATTTACTTGTTGTTATTGTTGTTGTTTCCTTTTTACTTTGTTTCTAACTTTCTGAATGATTTTCCCATACATGGCTTGGTTGTTGCTCCTTTGTTCATTTATTCCATCAGTTCAGGTTTGTTCCATTTTTTTTTCTTTTTTTAAATTCCAATTATAGACAGCTTACCAGCTGAATCTCCTCTTCCAACCACCAATTCCAACGAATGATGGATTAGTTGATGTTTGTATTCAGTATTTGGATAACGTAAGCTCTTCCTCCTTCAATTGATCTTCCGATTTCCCTATTTCAGGAAAGCTTCGATGATTTCCTTACCCACTGTCTAATACTGGAAGACTTACCCAAATGGAAGCCTAAGGCGTTGTCATTCGAAACGGAAACAGACTTTGTAATTATAAACGAGCAATTAATAACTATATCATATAAAGTTAAATGCTATCCGTAAGTATCTCTTCACCTTGAAAGTAAGGCTTCTCTCATATTCTCAGAAACTTCTTTGGTCCAACATGTGACAAGTATTGCAAGCCCGACTTATCTGAGAGCACAGGCTTCTTTGATTGTTCGAACGAAGGCGAGAAAATATGTTTAGAGGGATTTCAGGGTCCGAATTGTACAATCCAATCAAGTTTGTAATTTTTCTTTTTTGCAATTCACACATCTTCTCTCATTTTCGAACGTGATAACGAGTTGAAGGACTTTATGAGCTATTCGTTCATCTCCCACTACAACTTAACCCTCCTGCTAGGTGAGAAATCTCTTTCTCTTCACGATCTCACTAACTCATTTCAGGAGCCAGTCTTGCCTTCTTTCTATTTCTGCTTATCATTTGGTACTTCATATTCACGAAACGAAGGTTACCACCTGTTTTTTAATGAAAATTTATTTTTTTTATTTCAGAAACGAAGACGAAGCGAAAGTTTTCATGTCGAACGTTGTTTAGTTCCATATTATCTCAAATATTCTAGTCTTTCACTCAAATTGTATTTATCACCTCGCTTGCAAGAAGTTTGATTAAAAAGGAAAAAATGCATTTCAACCGAGTGAGGTTATCAGTGATGAATCCGATTCCGATTTCTTGGCAGCTGAAACATTGAAATGACATTCATGAACAACTGCATGACAACACCTTTGTATTTGATTCTATCTTTGTACAATTCATATATAATATATAATAATAATAGTATTGAAACGACTACAATGATCATATTGTAGTATTGACAGATGAGCACTAACTGATCTCGACTACCTGTAATGTCATACCATAGCTATCATTTCAATAAATATTTGAATGAAGACATACGTTGTTTTAAAAGTTTCTGAGAATTATTGAAAATTCTATTCATAGTTGATAATTCTTTCTTATCTTAAATGAACAAAATATTAAATGAGTGCAGTCCAAAAATGAAATGTGTAGCTGTCTACTAATTGACAGCCCATGCAAAACATGATTATTGATTAGTTCGAAATTGAAATGACGCCATCTCATTCCGCTAAATGGCAAATTAGCATATTGATTAGTGAATTTGAAAAAAAAAAGAAGACGAAGGAAAAGAATTTAATTGGATGAATGTAAAAAAAAAAGGAGAAAAAGTAAAGAGAATGTCTTAAATTAGATGGATTAACAGAAATAATTAAATGTAAGAGAGAAAATAAGAAAAGCAACCGGTCACTAAGTCCACATAATTGAAAATAAATTCCCTCGGATGGGGGCTTTCGTCGTCTTTGAGTTCGCGTGTGGACGAATGTCGATTCCTATTCATTTTCTTTTGAAATTTATATAAATTATATGTATATAAATATTTTATATGTTATAGTGTATGAGGTGTGTATGTATGTGTATGCTTGGGATGGATTCCGGATATCCGATTAGACATACGTCGTCTATCATTCTCTTCATATCAAATATAAATAATTTAATTATACGCAATTATTATTATTGAAATTAATTTATTTACAACATATTTGACCAGTGGGCTTGTAGGTTGACGACTATACCGTCTTATGGTATTGCCAATGGAACATGTATTGATGACAAGCGTGAAATGCAGCCTGTCAGCTTATGGTTTTATGATTTACAAAAGTAATATAGTAGTTTAAACTGTATATCTCCTCCCATTCTGTTAACTATATAATATTATTTTGTCACTTATATTCTCATAAGCAGTCTTGCCTTCAACTGCTGTTGTGTGTGAACGAGATGGTCATGTTCTCATGTACTCCAGCTCATTTAACCTGCAGCTATGAAGACAAGGTGTGAACTGGTTAGATATAAAATTATATTTTTACTTTCTCAAATGAACAACTCAGTCGTGTTGTGATAGAAGTTGCTGAATGGCTATTCTACTCAGCTCATTCCTCATCTTAATCCTATTCAATATTTAGTTATCAATTATTCCTTCTCCATTCATACAGTGAGTGCCGACAAAACAGTTCTTCGTCTTCTTTCATTTCATGTCCATCAATTAAGACAATGGGAATTTCGGTTCAGTCTATAAATAGGATTAAAATGTTTCCTTTGGCAATCATTTATTAATTCCATATATTTTCTTTGATACTTTTACTTTTATGGTCTGCCCCTAGCACTCTGCTTCTTTATGATTAGCCGCGTAATCTGCAGACACCGGCTTAAGGTGGGATTGGGTCATCCCTCCTCCTACCACCTCCTCTAGCTAGTCTTCAGATATTTTTTATTCGTCGTTCATCCCCCATTCTTCTCATTTCGTCTTTTCATGACTTTTTCTCGCAAATCTAATTGTTTTCGTTTCAGATGCGAGTCTTTCTCACTTTTTTACTCATTTTACATCTATCCCTCCAAGACTCTGACATCAACCCATTTGCCTATTGTCGAGAACGAATTTTCAACAACTTCTGTGATCTAGAGTGTGAAGATGAATTCCTCCCGACAGGAGATTGTGATTTGCACAAGCCACCAACTGTAAGACTCATTAACTTCATAACAAATCAGTTATATCTTGTGTAGGTTATCCGAGATGTTAATTTGACAATCAACAAGCTACCTTTGGTTTTTGCGAGTCGTCAGAAGTACACTGTCCTGCAATGGAGAATCCAGCACAAAGCGAGAATTCATATTCTGACAGATGTTTCGAAAGTTTCAATTCCATCGAATTACTTCGACCGTCAAAAGGTAGTTTCATAAATACTCATCTGGAAATACTCGTATCCCTCAGGTTTCTTCGGAATTCCATTTCCGCATCTTAGTTCGATTCGAAACACGAAGCACAGAGGAAACATCGCCTCTGAAAATTAAGGAAGCTTTGGAATCATCTCTGATGAATGCAGATCAAACAGAATTAGAACGAATGAGAAAAACCTCTGAAGAATTGAGAATTCTTATTGTTATCCTATTTCTTACAATGCTGTCTACACTTGCTGCAGTCCTCGTACTTCTTCGTACAAGACGACGACGATCGGTCTGTGCTCCTGTATGGATTCCTCCAATGGAAGATGAACCTAAAAGTATAATTTTGTCTTTCATTAACAATCTCAACATAATACTTTCAGAAATGCCAAAGTTCTTCGCGACAGCCTCATCCATCACCTACGATAGAACAATCAGTGAGTATGACTATCTGCCCTACAAGTAAGTCTTTTCATATGGTAATATTGACGCAAGTGGCTCTTTCAGTGAAACAGAGAACTGCATTCAAAAACCTGGAAAACCACAGAAGCACATATCGTATGTTGTAATAGGGAAACTTTCACTCACCACTTCCTTTACAGATACCGTATTCCGCAATTGCTAGAAGTTCCACAAAGAACACCTATTCATTGGATAGTGGAAAACAACGATCCTCAAATGCAGATGATCGAGAAACTTCAGCAGATCGAAGATTGTGTTAATAACGGAGTTAACGTCAATGCTCAAGATGAATCTGAGGAAACTGCACTTATCTTGGCAGTTCGTTGTCAACGTCACGCGATGGTCTCTAAACTTTTGAGTCTCGGAGCCAATGCAACTATCATGAACAGCAATAATTCAACATGCCTACATCAAGCAGTTCACAATGTTGACGTAGAGATGATGCAAATCTTACTATCTCATCCTACTCTTGCCAATACTGTAAGTATACAGTTCATCTTATATCTCTCTCATTCAACAATGTTTTAGGTTGTTGATGGACGAAGATCAATTGATGCTGTTGATGCCACAGACCGTACCCCTCTGATGATTTGTGCCGACAACGTTTTAACCACAAAGTTGATCAGAATGCTATTGGAAGCTGGAGCTGACCCATCCGACTCTGGAGATAAGGTTTGCATATTCATCTAACACATATGATACTCAATTTCTTGTTTCTAGGAAGCCATAGGTTACACGGGTATGACTGCGTTACACCATGCCGCACAGGCTGGAAACCTTCCTATGATCCATATTTTACTGAACATCCGAGCTGTCAAGATTAATGCCTATGATCAGCAAGGAGCTACTGCTTTATGGCATGCAGTTAACAGTGGTCATTATTTATGTGTTGAAGCTCTATTGAGTGCTGGTGGAGATATGTATTCACCAGATCATTTGGTAATCATTTTCTTTTTTGTTCAAACATTCTATTTGATTATGTTTAGGAGAGATTGCCGATAGAGGTTGCTCGCTCAAAAGCTTTTATGGAAATCGAAACTTTATTATTAAATCATGAACGACAACGAAAAGAAAAAAATCGCCAACCACCTGCTAAGGTATTTGAATGTCAGCTTGTCTATTAATTACTTTTTGCTTTCAGAGAAAACCTGTGGCAGCATCAGACTCAGAAGACGGTTCCCCAGTTCGATTGATATCTCATTCCGACTGCTCAGGTGCCATTGGAAGTTACGACTCTCCTCCTTCCAACCGTAGCGGGAACTACTGGTCGACATCACCTTCCTCTGAAGAATTCAAGGAGAATATTTATAGCCAAATTCAGAAGCCAACTGAAACGTTTTATAAAACAGAAACTTCATCATATTTCCCAAAGCCTTTAATGCCATATGAGGAGATGCAGTTCTATGCCCAAACTAAGACATACAACCAATGGATATGTCAAGATCTTGTCTAATTCAAGAAATTTTAAATTATATTCTTATGTAAAAATGATATTTCTATCTGTATATAATGATGATTGTAAATATTTGTTTTATGAAGTGAATTTTCAAATTTTTCCTTTCAACTCGGAAACAATGTCGTGAATCTCTCGTCCTCGTGTCTCGGGTAGCTTCCGGTAGAGATGGACCAAACAGAAGAGGTTCGGAACTGTATAGAGGGCTAGGAATGAGTAAGAACTTATCAGATTATATAAAGGCAGAATAGAAAACGTCGTTATCACAACGAATATGGTGTTGATCGCATAGCACAGTGATTGGGTCATGCTGCGATATTTCTGCGGTACCAGTTCAGAAGAGATGAACCACGAAATAGGTCCGACACCAGCGCTTCAACAGTTCTATTTCAACACCAACCAAAGTCACATCCTTACCCATATGTAAATCCATAGGCAATCAAGGAGAACAGACATCCATTTCTCAGAAAACCAATCTTCACTTGCAGCTGCGAGCAGATAACAAACATAACAAGGAACAAATTATTGCAGAATATGAAGAACAACAGAAGTCCTCGTCTACCAACTCTGAACATCTGTTCTTTCACTATACTTCTGATGAACACACTTCTCTATTAGAGCTGATCCGATCAATGTGCCAACTACATAAGCAAGCGTCATAGACGTACTACTCCAAGCAGCCACGTTCGAGTTTACATTTGCCTGTTTCAGAAAGTAAGTTGATGAAAGTAATAGAGACCATAAAGCAATTGTATTCTGAAAATAAGAGCCTTCTCTGGTTTTCGGAACTATTCTACCTGTAAAGCACAACAACTCAAGATTGTTGCGTCTCGCAGGTGTTTTGTAGTCAAGATCTCCTTCAGAGTTAACCAACTGTTATCAGCTTCCTCCTGGCTTTCTGATTCCTGAAAGGAATACTTTCCGTTCTTGTTCTGATAAAGCGCATCTGACCAATACTATTTCATTCAAGATGTTTCGAACATTCGCATGCTCCCCGTGATAGAATAAAACTGATTTCTCAGCTCTTTCTCGATCTTTGCGTACAATCAGAAGAAACTTCGGAGTCTCATGTATGAAGAACAGAACAACAAAGAAGAAGAAACCTTAAATGTGAAAGTTGTACTGTACTATTGAATCTTCTGATAATAAGAATATTAGGTAAAACCTCCGAAATTGGCAAAAATCAAAAAAAAATTTTGTTCTTCGAGATTTGCCGAGATCGTCTCGCTGGCTCCTAACAGTTGAGTCGGACCATATCTTGGAGGCGAGCCAGTAATGACGTCATAATCCTTGAGCTTCTGTATCTTGCCGAGTAGGCATCAGAATTGAATTCTGATTGAATATTC